GCACCGCAGCCACTTTTGCCTGTCAGGAAGGGGAAGACGATTTCATCGAAAGATCGGAAGAAGAAGAGGTAGCGGCGCTACCTCGGCAAGCGTAATCTTGCTAAATCCCGAGAGAGCCGTCAGCCCCGGCCAAGCATGACAGCTTGGGACATGGCGTGAGAGACCGGAGGGAGGCCCACCGTTTTGGCCACGAAGGGTTCAAGGACGGAGCAGCTTCTGCTCCGGCTCCTCATTAATCAGGATTAGCTTTGTGGGGACGGACTGCTTATTATCTGAGAACATGGTTTTCCCAGGTGAAACGAAAGGCCAGCCGGTAACACGGTCTCCCTCCCAGATGGCGCTTCCTGTCTGTAGCCACGGGACCCCAAGGGAATCCTGCTCCTTGTCGGCTATTGATTGCTCACAACGACTTTTCGGCCTCCCGATGAACTGGCGGTGGCCTCGCTGGACCAGACGCTCCCTGCTCACGGACTCCCAAGCACATGGCAGGCAGCCCTACCTCTCCTTCCGGGAAGAGCATCCTGGCAAGAAAAGGACCAAGGAAGAGAGCCAGCCTGTGCAGGGCTCGGATGAAGTCTGGGGAGACCCGCGTTCTAATCCTCACACGACTGCACATGGAGCCACATGCTGAGTTGGGATTCAGGATGCCGGGCGTAGAAATCATTGAGCTCAAGGGTCTCGCTTCTTGAATAGACATACTCAGGATCTCTCTGGTAATCCATAAAGGCCCAGGAGGATCTCTCCACAGAGTCAGCTTTTGGGGTGGGAAAGCCGGGTGGTCCCCCATGGGACTGATCTGAATGGGTACTGAGCACCGCTAAAGGGGGCATCGAGTGCCACAGGCCCTGGTCTGTTCATTTTTTCAATGTGTTGTCTGAAGTGAGGTATGTGTGTGAGGTGGGCAAAAGGCAAGTCATTGTCACCATTTTCTCAAGACGCAGTTTGGGTACTGTCTATAAAGCCGAACTTCCTTGGTAAAGGTAAAGGTTCCCCATGACCATTTTTTGTTCAGTCGTGTTCGACTCTAGGGAGTGGTGCTCATCCCCGTTTCCAAGCCATAGAGCCAGCATTTGTCCGAAGACAATCTTCCGTGGTCACATGGCCAGTGCGACTTAGACACGGAACGCTGTGACCTTCCCACCGAGGTGGTCCCTATTTATCTACTTGCATTTGCATGCTTTCGAACCGCTAGGTTGGCGGGAGCTGGGACAAGTGACGGGTGCTCACTCCGTCACATGGATTCGATCTTACAGCTGAAGATCTACAGACATTACATCACAGAGGCTTCTGCGGTTTAACCTGCAGCGCCACCATGTCCCTCTAATCTTCCTTGATTTAGGTCTAAATGATGCTTAGAGATGGGCACGAACTTCCGGTTTGGCAGTTCGCAATGGTTCATTCTTTGGACGCCCATTTGCCCAGGATGCTGCCTTCAAGCAGATGCCCACTAAAGGAGGCCGGATTAGAAAGCTGGGAACGCCTGTGCATCGAAAGAACGAACCACACTAAACCACCAAACCATCTGTTTGCGTCCATAACCTCTAATTATGTTTCTTGTCCAATTTCCAGCTTAATGTCATTTGGAAATAAGCTCTGAGCACAGACATCTTGGTCCTTGCAGGGGAGCAGCCACACCTGCCCCAAAGCCCATAAAAGCCTCTCCGTGGCTGGGCCAAACGGAGAGTGGGTGGGAGCATCAGAGGCATTCGTCATCCAGGGAGCCAACTCTGACCTCTGCGACAGAAAGGATGACCGGCGTTGCTCATGGGGAGCTAAATCAGTGATCTAGATGCCAAAGAGATTGGGATCTCATTACTAATCTCTTCAGCTTCCAAGTTCTTCCTTCCACGGGAAAAAGTCAACGTAGGTGGATGTTGACACTCAAGTTGAACGGAAACCACATTTGCTTCACTTAACTTCGGTATGTAACATCACTTGCATCTGCGGCTATGTGCACAGATTTTAGAGTGCATATGTTTTTTTAAAAAAATAAATAAAAGAAACCTAAGTGCCTGAGTATTGATTGATTTTATTGTTTGTCAATATGTATATTGCACAGAGCCTCGTGGCACAGTGGCTAAACTGCAGCACTGCAGCTAAAACTCTGCTCACAACCCAGGGTTCAATCCCAAGTAGCCGGCTCAAGGTTCACTCAGCCTGCCAGCCTTCTGAGTTTGGTAAATTGAGTACCCAGCTAGCTTGGGGTGTGGGGGGGAATGTGTAGCCTCATAATTAAGTAATAAACTGCCCAGAGAGTGCTTTAAACTCTGTGGGGCAGTATAGAAGCAGGACACTTTGCTCTTTTTTTTTTACTTTGTATTTATTCTTCCTTTGTATTCGCGAAGGCTTTCACGGATGGGATCTAATGGTTGTTGTGGGTTTTTTCCGGGCTCTTTGGTCGTGTTCTGAAGGTTGTTCTTCCTAACATTTCAACCAGCTAACGACACCCGTCAATCAGAGTGACAGATAATCTCTCATCCTTATCACAACAACACACCCACAACAAAAACACAATGATCTACCATAATCACCCATCTCCTGAAAAGGATAAAAGCTTGATCTCACAGCCATAAATACTCCACTCCCAAACCAACTGCACCAGAGAACAGAGTGCTGTCCTCTGAAGATGCCGGCCACAGAGACTGGTGAAACGTTAGGAAGAACAACCTTCAGAACACGGCCAAAGAGCCCGAAAAACCCACAACAACCATATTCTTTCTTTCTTTGAATGCTTCATTCATTCATTCATTCATTCATTCATTCATTCATTCATTCATTCATTCATTCATTCATTCATCCATTCATTCATCCATTCATTCATTCCCTCAATTTTTATAATGCCCATCTAGCAAATAGCTACTCTAGGCGGCTTATAGAAAGGAAAACAGATATCACAAAAATCATAAAACACATTCTAAAATACAAAGAAAATTATTTTTTAAAAAATGACAGATGGCAAGAAACGGTCAGGCACTAAGAACCTTCCTGCTCTTCCACATATCTAATTTATTGAGGAGAACCTTCCAAAAAAAAAAAAAACCTCCCTTGATAAATCACTGTTTTTAGTAGTTGTTTTTTTAAGGCAGGGAGGGAGAGCACCTGGCATAATTCCAGTGGCGGCCCCTTCCACAAGGAAGGGGCCACCGTGGAGAAGGCCCGGCTTCTGGCTTTGCTATTGTTCTGCGCCATCAACTCGGAACCAAATTATAGTGACCCTCATTGGGCTTTCAAGGTACGTGAGATATTTAAGGAGTGGTTTGACCCGTTCCAGTGAGTTTCCGTGGCTGAGCAGGGATTTGATTGCAGAACTCCTGAGTCTTAATCTGCCACTCTATCCACTACACTACGCTGCATATCAGACATCTGAAACCTCTCCCTCTTTGTAAGGACGCCTCTCGGCGGGTGATCTTTTTAGAATCTCTTACCAGATATGGTGAGCTCTGGAGGGCAGATATCTGGTGATGGAGAAGGCACTGGGAAGGGGCTGTCGTGTCTGCTCTGGAAAAGAGAAAGGCAAGAGGGGCAAACCGTCAGAAAAGGAAACCTAAGACTCTAAAACAGACACCGAAGGCAGAGTCTCACATGGTTTACACAGTCCCATGTGATGAATTGCATTTCATCGCCAGTGGTCAGAACCTAACAGTCCGGGAAGCTGAATAGGAAATCCAGCCCAACTATATCGCCCCCTACCGCTTTTCTTCAAGTGGACAGTCTACGGATGGAGTTACGTATTGGGGAAAACACAATTTGCTCCACTGTGTATTCAGTTTATCCAATTTGGTTCCCCCAGGCGAATTGCTGTAGCCGTCTGGATGATGTTTCATGGAGGTCTGCTAATGCAGAGGTGGAGAGCTTGGATTGCTTGGAGCACCCGGGCAAACCGAGCTGACTTAAGGTGCTAACAAGGTGCTAATTGGCCATTCTCACCTTTCTCTTCCTGCTTGCTTACTTCTCCTTAGTAATTCCACCCTAGCAAAAGGAGGCTCCAGCACAGAGTTGAAAACTCCCCCCGCCTCCCGCCCCCCCACCAAAAGACACTATGTGGAGCCCAGGGGCATGTGGGTGAGGGGGAACCGACACCATCACCAGCACCCCTTGGCCTCAGATCAGGAAGTCACACTGGCAGAAAGGGACAAAAACGATGACAACCCAATCACAACAAGTTTAAGCCCCACTCCTTGCTGGCTCAACAAAAAAAGATCATTCCCTCCTCAAAACTGGATGATTCCACTATAGGTGATATATTGAACACACACACCCCAAAACTTTGTGCAGTCTTTTAAAAATACATGCATACTTAACTTTCTTGTGCCCAAAATAAGTGCAATGAATTAGGATGGAAGCACAAGAACAGGCCAAATCCCACCCCATCCCCAGTCTTGGGGGTCTTTAGAAGCAGGAATGGGGGATTAGGCCGGTTTTAAAGAAATGGGTTGCCCTCGTGATAGCCTCAGAGGCGCGAGGATGCCCCGGGGACCGCATGATTCTCACTCTTGATTTACAAGGCAGTGGAGGAACCCCCCGTGGTCTGTTTCCCTCTTTCGTTCACAATTATTTTGCATTTGCAACTTCCAGCCTGTCCTGAAATCTCGACCAGAAGGTTCTGTCACGGGCCACCCCCATTGGGCATCCGGGGGGGTGGGATAAAGCACACACTCCACCCTCTTTTCCTAACACTAAAAACAGCACAGGAAGAAATGAATGGAATCTTCCTTGGCTATTATTTCCTAACCCCCAAAAATCAGGTGCATTTTAAAGCAGAGGGGTCGCTCTGCCCAACAGTAGGGTTGGTCCAACTGTGAGTTGGCTTACCCATGATACCAATAGGCCCAGTGATCTGGTCTTTCTGCGATCCTTCCCATGATCTGGAGGGTGTTCCAGACCCAGGACAATCCCCAGACCACAGACCGGGAGAGGCAGGCTATTAATAACAACCCGGCTATTTACAAAGGAACGAGAGCTATGACAGAAGCACCAGACTTGACTGAGGAAAGGAAAAGAGCAAGCAGGCTCAGACATGTCGACGCGGCGCCTTCCCGGAGACCACTAATCCTGGAGGATTATGGGCATGATCATTAAGGTGATCATCCAGTTGGCGAAAGGGAAGCTCCTTCTGGTGGGATCTCGTAGGGTCGTCAGGGCTGGCTCGGCCTTACCTCGGGGGACCTCACGTGGACTTTTAACCGGTAAGAGCTCAGGCCGTTCCCCACGGATTTGGGAGGCGAGGCGTGGATATTGTTGGGAGCCGAGGGTCCAGGGTGCAACCGTCCCCTTCCAGCAATGAAGGCCACTTCAGTGGTCCCTTCGTGTCTTTGGGGGGGAAAAAAGGAGAACATGAACTTGATGAGTCAGGAGGGGAAAACATATGGTAGAAATGGAGGGCAACAAAATGGAGTCATATTTAGAGTAGCGGCATAATGCTGTATGGGGATGATGGTGGTTGTAGTTTGACACAGCTAGCAGGCATGAGGTTGGGGAAGGCTGGCTTAGTGCTATTTTAAAAGGTCCTTGAGTTCAGCAGTTCATCTTTCCCCTGCTACCATTTTCTGGTGTCTCTGAAAGGAGATAAGCAGCTTTTTGCTTTTGTTTCCAGCTAACCGTGGTTAGTGGTTATATCTGAACCTAGACAAGCCATGGTTAGTTCTATCTCTAGTTTAAAGCATTGGTGCAGGCTCTGGGGGTGAATTCTGGGTCGTGGGTCCCAATCTGAGCTTCTGAGCTACTCCAGCCTCGGACCAAAGCGAGTAATTTATAGCTAAATCATCCCTGAGAGGGGGCCACCCAAAATCTGTTTACCAAACCCCAACAAGGAAGGACCACTGATTTGTGAGTCAAGGGTCACCAGGAAGTTCTTCCTGATCCTGGAATGAGGATGAGGATAAATTTGGCTGTCCCCAACCTTATTTGAGAGGATCTGCTGGTTTCCTTCTCATGCCACTTAGCTATCAGGGATGGGGAGGGGGACTGGGAAGTCTTCCTTACCTGAATTTTGTCTTTGCCAGTATCCTTTTGGCCTCTTCATGTGTGGTACCCACCAACGAGTCTTTGTTGATTGCAATGAGCTGGTCCCCTACTCTCAGACGCCCATCCTGAGAGAGTGGCGAGGAAGAATATAGGTGGGACACCAAGATCATTGGTGAAGAAAAAACAAGAGAAAGATTGTTAGGAACCAGAACGCAGAATCCTGATTTTTGGCAGATGAAGCTTCAGAATTAATAATGCTGGGAGACTTGTGTGCTAGGTTAACCTCATGGGGTTCACATTGACTTGGGATCCCATTGTCCGGGAATCACCCTGGAGGTTGGCAACTTGCATGCAGAAGAGGCTGCATTTCTCCCTTCAGGCTGAGGACTCAGAACAAGAAGATGTTGCTCTGTCTCAACCCCTCTGCTCAATCTCAGCCTGATATAAGCTGTGCCATTCTGAAAGCACCAAGCAGTGCTGGGGCCCATGATTTGGACCAGCACAGTGATGCACCAAGCAGTGCTGGGGCCCATGATTTGAACCATCACAGTGATGAAGGAGGGTCATCGATCAAAGAAGGTGGGCTCTTTTAAAAGACTCTGTTTGTGTGAAGCCAAAAGGAGCCCAAGGAAGCCAACCTCCCATGGAAGACACAATCTGGAATCTAGTCTTTGTTGGAGTGATGGATGGACACCTCTTCCAAGCACCACCACCAACAAGAGCTATCCATGGTGCTGAATCTCCTGTACTAGTAGCTCAGGAATCCTCACCCAACCTCCCATGGAAGACACGATCTGGGATCTAGTCTTTCTTGGAGTGATGGATGGACACCTCTTCCAAGCACCACCACCAACAAGAGCTATCCATGGTGCTGAATCTCCTGTACTAGTAGCTCAGGAATCCTCGCCCACCTAGATGGCTGGACTTGGGAAACAAGAACTATGAAACATGCAGCTGCTTCAGCTTAGTAATATTGTGAAAATGTGTCTCATGCCTCTGAAAGAATGGACTGTGAGCAGATCCATTTCTTCCAAAGGGTGCTCCATTTCCTCTGTCCGTTGCTGCCCTTTATTATAATAATAGCCCCTTGCAAGGCTCCTGAGGATGTGATTTTTTTTGGGGGGGCTATCGCTCCCTGAATTGCCCAGTCAGAACGAGGATGGTCTTGCAATATTGTGAAAATGTGTCTCATGCCTCTGAAAGAATGGACTGTGAGCAGATCCATTTCTTCCAAAGGGTGCTCCATTTCCTCTGTCCGTTGCTGCCCTTTATTATAATAATAGCCCCTTGCAAGGCTCCTGAGGATGTGATTTTTTTTGGGGGGGCTATCGCTCCCTGAATTGCCCAGTCAGAACGAGGATGGTCTTGCTGTCTGTGGGAGGATGTGATTTTTTTTTTTTTTTGGCTATCACTCCCTGAATTGCCCAGTCAGAATGAGGATGGTCTTGTTGTCTGTGGGATTCTGGGAGTTGTAGTCCAGAACCTTCCCCAGCTTTGAATCTCTACACATGTCTTGAGATGTAGGACGATCAGGCTTGACGCCACTCAGACCTTTGGCTCACCCTATAGCAGTCGCCTTCTGGATGGAGCTCCTGGACATAAACCATGGGTCCGTCAGGCCTGTTGGCCCCTCCACCGATGGTCAACCCCAACCCAGAGGATTTTGCTACCGTGATGCTCTGGATCCCTGATTCAATAGGGCAGCTGCAACGAAAGAGGGTGGCAGGTTAGCAGGAGACACTACAGGAGCCCGGTTGCACTGGAGAAAAGAGCATCGATCCTTGGATCTAGAAGATTGACTACATATCCCATTATCTCTTATCATTGTCAATGTTGGGAGTTGTACTTCAACAACATTGGCGTGAGAATTTGGAATTGTTCCCTTTTTTATATATAGACTACACTTTGAATCCCAATGGCCATGTTGGCAAGAGAGTTTGAGAAACAGAAGCATTCTCAAGTAACTTTTGTGGGCTTTGATCTGGAGGGCCCTGCATTCCTCCTCTTATGTGTGAGACCACCACCCTCTGCTGTGTTTACCAGCACCTGGGATTTGCAAGCACTGAAGACAGACGGTGCCAGAATGATCAAAGGGAAATAAAAAAGCCACTGCAAAAATAAAATATATTTTTCTACTTCTTGTCTTACTGTTAAGTGTACCTTATGCCTTACTGAGGGTGAAGGGATCAGGAGACTCAATCAAATCCATCCCTGCTATATCAGAGAGGTGGGATCTGTCACATAGCCTGTCAACTCCTACCAGAGGCCACAGTAGATCAGTTGAAATATATTAAAAAAACAAGAGCTCTTCCATGTGATTATCAATGAAAATATCACTTGTTTCAGTGCTCAGCAAAGTTAAAGGTTCCCCTTGACATTGAGTCCAGGTGTGTCTGACTCTCGAGCGCGGTGCTCATCCCCGTTTCCAAGCCTTCAAGCCTGCATTTGTCGGAAGACAGTTTCCGTGGTCACGTGGCCAGCGCGGCTAGACACGGAACGCCATGACCTTCCCACTGAGGTGGTACCTATTTATCTACTTGTATTTCCATGCTTTTAAACTGCTAGGTTGGCAGGAGCTGGGACAAAGCGACGGGAGCTCCCTCCGTCACATGGATTTGATCTCACGACGGCTGGTCTTCTGACCTTGCAGCACAGAGGCTTCTGCGGTTTAACCCGCAGCGTCACCACGTCCATTTCAGTGCTCGCATATGTGTAAGAAACAGGAGCCTGGTGGTTAAATTTACACCACGGGAAGAAAACTGGGCTCAACCTGCTTTCAACAAGATGCGACCTGTCTTATATACATGAGATGTAAAGTATGTTATGTAATTAGGTATATCCATCTAAGGGCACATATATGCCTTAAAAACATCAGCAACAAAATGAGGTTCTGAAGGGAGGACCTCCCTATTTCTGTACACCTTGAGGTTGGAAACATGCAGTCCACAAGGGCCATCCTGCTCTGTTCTCTGGGAGCATCCATGGAGCTCCAGACCTCCCAAAACGTACATATTTTGATTCTCAACACACACACCCTGTTGTCCTTTAGCAGGTGTGGAGACTCTTCTGGGCAAAAAAAAGTTTGGGGAGGGACTATTCTACTCCCCCCAAAAATCTTTTTTTTAAAAAGTCCACGAGCAATCGCAAGGAGCCCTTTTAAGTTTTGAAAATACTTTTGTTTAGTTAAACACATGCTTAATGTTAACAGAAATATTTAAACATTAACAAGTGCATTAAAAATGAAGCACAAGTTAGCCTCTTTGGTGGGCGGCCCGGCCTCTTTAGTCACACACCCCTGGCCCAGAAAAACAGCCTTCGGTCCCATTGCCTGCCCATCTGATGCCCTTCTGTGCTGCCGTGGCGCAGAATGCTTCAGTAAAAGGATTCATGGATAGGATGAGTTCTGTATTCCAAGGACGTTGGCCCTCCCTCTCAAGAGCGATGCCGTACGTACTGTGAGATCGCATGTGGTGAATGTCCAGGATTTCCAATCAACGGTCCTTGGGAATTTGCCGGGCTCAGCAGCAACGGACTCTGGGAACGTGAGGAGGAACCCGAGGAGGTGCTTTCTAGATACCTCCCTGAGGAAACAAGTCAAAGAGAGCACTTAGAGATGGGTAATGTTGCTTCCTCGTCAGCTATAAGACTTTCAGGAGAGACATCTGAGGGACGGAGAGGGTCACAGAGCAAGTCTCCAGCCCTTAGATCCTCTAAAGCAGTGGTCCTCAACCTTGGGTCTCCAGATGTTCTTGGACTACAACTCCCGGAAGCCTTCACCGCCACCTCTGCTGGCCGGGATTTCTGGGAGTTGAAGTCCATGAATATCTGGAGGCCAAAGTTGGGGACCACTGCTCTAAAGATACCAAGGTTGGCAGCACCAGTGCTTGGTTTCACCGCTCAATCCTTCTCGCATTTCTAGACCCTGACTCCCCCAAGAGAGATCCATGACCCTAGATTATCTCTACCAGCGCTCAGAAGTTACTAGTTACAAATAGTTCACTATTCGTAACATGTAACTGTTGTGATATAACTGTTAACTGGGCCCTAATAACTGTTCTTTCATCATCATCATCATCATCATCATCATCATCATCATCATCATCATCATCATCATCATCATCATCATCACCTTAGAACTGCAGAACTAGAAGGGGCCCTGTAGATCATCAAGTCCAGCCCCCATCAAGGAGGCATGGTGGGGGAATCGAACACCCAACCTCTTGCTCCACGGCCAGAGACCTCAACCCCTGAGCTATCAAGGCATTTCAGTTTGTTCAAAATGGATAGCTTGTCAGAGGCATTCCATGAATCTTGCTCCACAGCCAGAGACCTCAACCTCTGAGCTATCAAGGCATTTCAGTTTGTCCAAAATGGATAGCTCGTCAGAGGCATTCCATGAGAATCCGAGAATATATGTTAAAGGAAGCTGGGAAATGTTCTATGATTGGGCCCAGAAACAAACATGAGTAGGGAATATAATCGAGATTATGGATTTTAGGATTGTAACACAGCCACGGAGCAGCCAGAGACCTCAACCTCTGAGCTATCAAGGCATTTCAGTTTGTCCAAAATGGATAGCTCGTCAGAGGCATTCCATGAGAATCCGAGAATATATGTTAAAGGAAGCTGGGAAATGTTCTATGATTGGGCCCAGAAACAAACATGAGTAGGGAATATAATCGAGATTATGGATTTTAGGATTGTAACACAGCCACGGAGTCAAGATTATATTAGATATCGTATTATTGCAAATACTTCCCTGTGTTTACGTTTTGTATTGTTTTGTTCTACCTCCCTTCCTTCCCCCGTATTTGTATCCCTTTGATTGTTGTTTCTGTGTTATATAGTAATCAAATTTAATATTTTTTTTAAAAGGCATTTCAGTTTGTTCCAGATCATAAACACTCACCGCTACCATGGAGAACTGGGGAGCTGCGTGCCGACCCTGTGTTGCTATGAGAGCCGAATTTTTCCAGAAGCTCGGCAAACTCTCTCCTGAAAAAGAAAGAAAACATACATTTAGCACCCCTTGCGCCCTCATCAAAATGAAATAATCCATCATGGGACTTGAAACTGATTTGATATTTTGAAATTGCACAGCAATTTCTCCTGTGTCGTCCCCCCACCCCCCTGGGTCCACCCTGTTTTGTTTCTAAACTCAGTTTTTCCGGGACCCTGTTAGAAAAAGGCATCTTAAACCTTCTTGAAATATTTCCCACCAAATCTGCATGGTCGTCTCATGACAGAGATGGGATGAAAGACCGCCGTTCTCGAGCTTCTGCTCTCCAGATGTGGGACAGGAAGCAGTTTGTTCATTCTGCCTAACGATAGGGCCAGACTTGTTCATTAAATCCACGGCCGAATCCAAACACTGGACCGGTATCATTGTAGACGGCTAAATGAAACTTCCATATCCACAAAGCAGTATGCCTGATAGTGATGATCAGACTCCGGTGTGATATAGAATAACCAGCGTGTCTTCCTTATGTGAGTGCTGTACAGTGGTGCCTCGCTTGATGACGTTAATCCATTCCAGTGAAATCGCTGTAGAGCGAAATCGTCGTCAAGCAAAAGTAAAAATCTTTTGCTTAATCTTGGAGAGACGTATTGTGCATTCAATCATTTGCAAGATGATTATGTAAGGGAAATCTCTACAAAGCTTCCCCAGCCCATTGACACCCCGGCCTGAGAATTATTATTATTATTATTATCCTTATAGGACAACTTGCCCTCTGGATAACCTTTGGCTGATTTAGCCAATCGCCGCCAGCAAGCATCGGCCGTAGAGACTGCACAAAGCCCTCAAAGCCTTTTTGCAAAACATATGCAAACGTTTAAACAAGAGGAATAAGATGGGGAGACTTATGGAAGGAGGCATGGGCAGCCTAGAAAGAGCAAGCCAGAGTTCATCATGGAGCAAAAACAGAGAAGGCCTTCTTTTGTTTTCCCACCAAAATATGTTTGCATATATTTTATACACCCATATATAATTGTCTCCCTGCGTATTTAACTTATATGCAGAATACATCATGTGAAAGGCCGGACTGGAGGAATCCCGAACTGGAATTAAGATTGCCGGAAGAAATATCAACAACCTCCGCTATGCAGATGATATCACCCTGATGGCAGAAAGTGAGGAGGAATTAAAGAACCTCGTAATGAGGGTGAAAGAGGAGAGTGCAAAAAATGGTCTGAAGCTCAACATCAAAAAAACTAAGATCATGGCTACTGGTCCCATCACCTGCTGGGAAACAGAAGATATGGAGGCAGTGACAGATTTTGCCTTCTTGGGCTTCATGATCACTGCAGATGAGGACAGCAGCCACAAAATTAAAAGATGCCTGCTTCTTGGAAGGAAAGCGATGACAAACCTCAACAGCATCTTAAAAAGCAGAGACATCACCTTGCCGACAAAGGTCCGCATAGTCAAAGCTATGGTTTTTCCAGAAGCGATGTATGGAAGTGAGAGCTGGACCATAAAGAAGACTGACCGCCGAAGTGGCAGTCAAAAGAAGCTTTTGAATTGTGGTGCTGGAGGAGATTCTTGAGAGTCCCCTGGACTGCAAGGAGAACAAACCTATCCATTTTGAAGGAAATCAACCCTGAGTGCTCGCCGGAAGGACAGATCCTGAAGCTGAGGCTCTAAGACTTTGGCCATCTCTTGAAATGAGAAGATTCCCTGGAAAAGATCCTGATGTTGGGAAAGTGTGAAGGCACACACACACACACACACACACACACACCAGATCTATTCCCAGTGCATGCTGTTCTGGGAAACTGATCTGAAGGGGGTTCCTCCAACTGAATCCAATGGGACTTGCTTCAGAGGAAAAACACAGCTGATGGCACTCTTAAGTTCCCATGACCTAACAGGAATACAGGAAATCCTTACCGGGCATCGTCATCTCGTGCGATAAGAAGGCGCATGTGGTTGGTAGCAGAGGCTGTTCTGAGGATGTCCACAGCTCTGGGAGGAATCAGAAGACAGAAAAATCTGTGAAGCCTAATGCTTGTGAATTGATTGATGGATTAGATTGACACTCAGAGATTTTGAGTTGAGAGAGCAAGCAATGTTAAAATAAAATCAAACGAATACGGCCATCAGAATTCTGTTGGCATTTGCATGAGTTTAGGGTAACTTGCAGGAGTTAATTGCCACAAATTGACTTGGCACCAACGCACATCACAATTGCGTCGACTGCACAACCTGAATGTTATAGTCCTGCTGCTTCAAAAGTCCCAAGGCTTTGACCCTGTGGACCATGGATCCACTACACCACTGCCTCTCATCTAAAGATATCATGTTTCGGTTATTCCACTATCAAGCCTCTCTCTCTATACTTCACCTCCAGATGTTGGGCACATCCACGCCTCTTGATGACGGGACCCACTTGTGTGTGGAAATCCCACTCGCAGCTTGTTATTTTTGACCTCAGCTGAGCTTCCAAATCTTTCTGTGAGGACTTCTTCGTTGGGAGACATCACCCCAAAACAAGGACCTGACCCATTTGGCCATAAAGGGAGCCATTCAATTTTACCGGGAAGAAGCTCACCGGCAAACAGGCTTTGTGGAAAGTATGCGTTCGGCAAATCCGAGAAATAACACAAAGTTGAAACAAATTATATCTAGATACTGTACCTTTCACTGGTCACACCCAGCAGGCTGTCTCCGTTCACCTCTAAGATCTGGTCCCCAGGTTGTAAGCGACCTAAACCAACCAACGAGAAAAGTATATCCATTGATCAAGACAAGGATATTGACCTAAGCTTGGCATGTTAACCAAAATGCAAATATTATAGATTATCGTGAATTTGGATAGTATCACCAAGGGTTCAGGAGACACGGTGTGGAATCTGGCAGTTTCTCCTTCGTTTATGTCACAAGCCATGCAGTCTAATTATTAAATACATCACATCATTTTCACCCAGTCATGGATAACAGCAAGAGTGTCTGGGCTCTTGCACGTTCTTCATCTAGACTTCAGCGGTAAATGTCGTAGGCAGAGAGGGGCACAAATCGAATCACAGACCAGGAAAACCAATGAATCAGGCTACTTTGGGGTTCAGTTCATGACCCAGTTTGGGTATCCTGCTTTGCCAAAGCAAAATGAAATGCTGAATTCCCCCCCCTCCCCTTCAGTTAAAGGGATGCCTGACCAATCACTGCTCCATCCCCTCTCTACCTGGTCCTGCCGCCACTGCTGCCTTCAACGCCACCACTATCGTCCAAGACAGCCGCCCAGCTTCCCCCACCCCCCCAGGAGCTGAGCCTGCTGCCTCTGCGCATGCGCCCACGACCCAGCTGATCAGGAGGTGGCACAGCAGCAACAGAGAGCCCTGCCCGACTGGGCATGAACCCAAAACCGAACTACAAACCACTTCTGTTTTCCATGTGGTTCGTGGCAAACAATGAACTGTCAGGACCCCTGACTGTTTTTCAGGTTCATGCCCAGCTCTAGTTACAGGGCATAACGGTGTGCCAACATCGGCGTGAAGCTGGCTGCTCTTCTCTGTCCTTGCAGCGGACTGCGTTCCTGTGAAAACCCTACTTTCATCCGCTATGCAGAAGTGCCCAGCCTGAGAAAGTCGTCTATAGGTTGAAAGCTAGCATTTTCTCTTTTTAAAAATATTTTTCATTCATCTTATAAAGGCATCACCATTAGCCCCCCAGGTAGCTTGGATCCATGAGGCACACCATGTCATGGGTCAACCCCCCACCCCCGGCCCTTTCAAACTGGGCTCCGCAAACTGAAAGCCAATAAATAAATGAAAACGTTCCTTTGAAAAAAAAATTGAACCTTTGTGTCAAGATTGTTCATTTGGGGGCGGGGGGGGGAGATAGTTGACAGAAATTCGTGCAGACTGACCCAACAATTGCTAGAACAAATTTTGAAACCCACTGCTTCTCAGCTTCCCAGTCTGAAATTGTGACCAGTGAGCTGTCCATGGTCCTGATCACCTGTAATTTAGCTTTGGCCAATACATTCCTATGCATTCCAGACTGGGATAAGACATTAGGCAGGATGTGTGAACTCTGAATGTCCCTAAACAATACACTTATCGCTATTTGATCTCACGTGAAACTCTCATGCCTCCCTCCTATGGAATCCTGGGAAATGTAGTTTGGTCAGGTCCTTTGAATTCTCTGCTGTAGTTCAGAGAAACACAGTGAATTCCAAGCTCTCTTCCAAACTATAAATCCCAGGATCTTGCAAGATGTAGCCAGGATGATTAAAGTGGCATCAATACACTAATAGTATAGGAAGACTCCTGCTTTTTCCACCTCCAACATTCTCACTGGTGTAGATTTGGAAAACGGGTATGGGAATCTGAGCACAATTTTAAAATGCACGACAACGCACTTGTAGTGGGGGGGGGGGGGGGAAGCAAAGGAAAAAAAATGCATGGAATAATCCATGCAGAATTTGTGCAAGGAAAAAGAATTTGTCTCGATCATGACTGCATGATTTTGGTGAACTGGAAACAAAACAAGGAACTCTCTGGGTGGTTTACAATTTAATTATTGTAAATTATGCAGAATACAGACACACACTGCCCCGCCCCCATGAGCTGGGCACTCAATTGACCAACTTCAGAAGGATAGAAGGCTGAGTCAATCTTGAGCCAGCTACCTGAGCCCATGAATGAATTCAGATCATGAGCAGAGTCTTCACTGCAGTGTTGTAGTTTAACCACTGTGCCATGAGGCTTCCTCAAGAAAAAACTGAGGAAATCAAACACGAGAGATTTCCTCAGTCCTAGTTCTAACCAGCACATCACACGGAGCAATGACGGGCAACTATTCCCGAACTGTCTCAACTTAGGAGAAGGATCTGGAGACCCTCCAGACGTCATCCCCACAAGCTGTGGGGCCCGAAATGCAAGCAATAAACAATTACCATCAGCGTAAGCAACACCTCCCGGTAAGATTCTCTTGACGTAAACTCCGTATTCTTCTCCGGTTAGCTCTTTAATACCACCAATCACTTTAATACCTGCCAAGAAAAAGGAAAGAAAAAGGATTCCATTACAAAAAGCCACTCTAGCTCAACTTGAACCAGCCATGACGTTTGAAGATGTCCACAGTGCATATAAACCCTTGGTTTGCTTTTGATTTGGGTCTTTCTGCACCCAATTCGCTCACTCTTTAAGAGAGGTCAGCAAAAGGAAGAGACTCAGCAACAAATACCAGGCATATCAATGATGAAGCGTCCCTGTACAACAACGTCCTAGCTGAACGTTCCAGCTTATTGATGTATCCTTCATTCTTGTCTCTTGTCGTCGTGATTTGCAACGTGACGATATTGTCCAGCCTTTTAAGCCATTAAGTTATGGAAGTTGGTTTCTAAGCCTGTCTGGATAAGGAGAGAGAAAGCCAAGAAAAAAAAATACAGCCCTAAAAACAAATAGATGGTTTCAAAAAGAAACACATAGCAGAAGGTGGATGCTCACAAGTCAAAGCTCAGTGCTCTAGGTCAGGAGGTAGGCTAGCCCTTTAGCATGATTCAAATGCTGCTTCTTGATCAGATTGTACATTCTGTTCCAATGGTTCTCCGCTTTGGGTAACCTAAGTCTTCTTGGACTACAGCTCCCAGAAACCTTCACCACCAGCTGCACTGGACAGGATTTCTGGGAGTTGCAGTCCAAAAACATCTGGGTTACCCAACGTTGGGAGTCACTGGTCTATTCTATGCACAAAACACATGTTGGATGCTTGCCCAGAGGTTCCGGTGACTTGAACCCCTCTCATATTGCAGCAAGGCTAAATTCTTGTATACAGTATTTCTAATGAGAAATGGGGACCCCTTAAGAAGCTAGTCTTTTAAAAAAAATTAGAGCAATGTTCTCTTATTCTTTCACCCTGAACTTTCACTAGCAGCTAAAATGATTAAACCGAGGCTGTCATGCTTTGGACATACCATGAAAAGGCAGGACTCCCTGGAAAGCACAACAATGCCTGGAAAAAGTTGAAGGCCATAGGGAAAGAGGAAGATCAAAATAAGATGGATAGACTAAATAAAGGAAACCACAGCGCTAGCTTTGTAAGACCCTAGCAGGTCGTTTAATGATAGGACCTACTGAAGGCCACTAATTCATAGGGTCGCCATAAATCAGAAACCATGACATATAATGTCCAGATTCATCATTAGAGTTGGTAGAGTTTGAACCCAACATCTGGAGGTCCACACACTCCCCATCTTTAATTTAGCATTAAATTAGCAAACAAAAATGACATAGTGGAACTGGAAAAAGTGCAGAAGATAGCAATTCAAATGATGAGTGGGCTGAGACACCTCCCTGATGAGGAACGGCTACAGCGTTTGGAGCTCTCTAGAGAAAAGGCACCTGGGGGGGGGACCTGATTGAGATGTATGATGCAGGGGATGGAGAAAGTGGATAGAGGGAAGCTCTTTTCCCTCTCACGCAATACCAGAACCAGGGGACATCAACTCAAATTGAGTGTTGGGAGAGTGAGAACAGACCAAAGAAAATATTTCTTGACCCAGTGTGTTGTTAAACTGTGGAACTCCTGGCCACAATGTGGTGACAGCATCTGGCCTTAGACACCTTTCAAAGGGCATGGGACAGATTCCTGGAGGAAAAGTTCATTAGAGGTGACAAGCCATGATGGGGATCTATAATCTCCAGGCTTAGAAGGAAGGTACCTCCAAATGCCAGATGCAGGGGATGAGGGGTATCAGGAGACAGGTCTCTTGTTGTCTCGTGTGCTCCCAGAGGCATCTGATGGGGCCCCTGGGAGATACAGGGAGCTGGAATAGAGGGGCCCTTATGTTCTTAAATCCACCAATCCTCAGTACTGGGAAAGTCTACTGAGTTTATTGATAATCTCAGAATAAAGTCACAGATGCATAATCTGCAGAAATAAAAAGCCCCACTGCATAGCACTTCTTATTTAAAATAGCCCTCCAAGCCATTCTAGGCAATGTGATTAGGGAATGTGGCAAACACTCACCTCTCACTTTTACTACATTTCAGCCCACACAAGCATCTGCACACCGGCCCACCCAAGCGCACACCCAACCAGGTATGATCATCCATAGCCATAATAATGGCGCATCATCAAGTCGATTCCAACCGATACGAATGTTTGCCCAGGTTTTCTAGGTATATAGCGCTCAGATATCATTTACCAGATCCTCCTTTTGGGACCACCGGGCAAACCAGAGAGAAACGGAATAATTCCTGGCTCCTGGCGCTCCACCCCACCGAGCTCTCCAGACAGCCGTGAGGATAAGAGATGGCAAAGGATGGTCATATAGTGCCCTCTCGTGGCAAGACTATTATAAAATCTGGTGGTGCTAAACCTAATTGGCTGTTCTCCATGAACTTTACATGTCTTTGTTTTTTAAAAAATCCATATTTTGAGAACGATAAAGATGATTGGGTGGGATTCCAACATTTTTCACACTGCTGTAGTTGGGAATTTTGAAAAATGCCTGCCACCATTCATCTGGACAGATCCTGGAGCCACGCCTTCAAGAAGAAGCCAAATATGCAAGTACTTGTATTGCTCAGTATCCACCAACTAAGTCTTCACAGGACTTTGATAAAATTAATAGGACTTAATCACCTATTCAAGAACAATAAATAAAAATTGCAGTGCCCAAGCCTCCCTAAGAAACAAGTCTGACCTTAAAAGAACACTTTACTTTTACCCAGTACTCCTTGACTGGATAGGGTGCCCAGCAGGTCTAAGCTGATGGTGATGCAAATGTATA